TTTCAAATGAAGACAGTGATAGAAGGTGAAGCAACATGTTCAAGGGGGATGAGATATCGTGGAACCCCTGGCCACGTAGGAGGATTTAAGAAAAACAGATTGCTGGAGGCTGAGGGGTCGCCCACGGATCAGGACCAGTGAGGCAGGGAAGATGGGGTTAGAGGTCTACACTAATTTATGTGTCTCATTCCTGGAGTGTGGCTCTTGGTCTCCAGTCCATTCCTCTGCTGCAGGGGCCCATGTGTCCTCCACTGAAGGTTGTCACTTCAGATGCAATTCCTAGATGGGGGTCGGGGGAAGATCACAGCAATGACAACTTCCTTTACTTTTGCCAAATAAGAGGGGCAGAGTAGTGGGCTTCTTACAGGTGTAGTAATCTGGGACACCAAGCCAAGTTATTTCTCCYCACCAGCTGTCAGCGCACCCCAAATTTCCCAGGAGAAATTTAATCCTTTGAGTCTGGAAGGTTTTTAGGCTTTCCTGTTTAGAAGACAAATATCTTCATAAAGATGGTTTTGCTTTCCAGTGCCTTTAGGGGCTCTAGGCAGGTAATTCACTTTTGAAGGAGATGGGGTAAGACTGAAAGGTGAGTTGGTTGCTATGGCAACCCAGAAGCCTGTTCACCGTGCATAAGCATGGRCAGCATGGCCTGGCCAAAAGACGACAGGCCACTAATTTGTAACTACAGTCAAAGGGTTATGCATTTTGCTTCTGGCTATCAAAGTGTATTATAGAATATGTGGGGAATAAAAACTCTAAAAAACTCGAAATTAGTCACTAAAATCATAATACCCACCTCTTTTTCATGAAATGGCATTGATATCTTGGCATATGCCCTACTATGTTTTGTTTGGTTTTGTTTGATTTTTCTTTTGGTTTGAGTGTACAAATCTCTATCCGTCGGGTGTGCATGAAAGAAGGACATCTGAATTTCAGCTAAGAAATACTTGGGTTAAAAAATTACTAGACCATATTTCAGACTGAGAATTGGYTCTAACGAGGCTCTGGGAGGACCTAACCTGGAGGGATAAGTTGAATATAAAGGGTGAACTGGAAGGAAGGAGAAAGATAATTTCTCTATTATTCATGGATTAGCAAAATAAAAATTGGCCAAAGAAGATCCCTGGCAGGAGGCTGACAGAGAGTGACCAGTGGAACAACAGGGTGCCCAGGAAGCAGGGAGAGTACATTTGAGGTGGGGTAGGTGTTAAAATTAAAGGCTCTCAGAACTTCTTTCKGTCCATCCATCATCTTCCAACTAGATTAAGAGATAACAGTCTACTTAAGAAATTAAAAATATGTCTACAKACCTAAGCTACAGAAGTTAATTTTTTTCCAATTAAAAAAAAATCTTAGGAGGAAGCCATTTATGCCCCTGGGCTTCAGGGTCTGAAGAAGGTTGGGGACCTGGAGCCCCCTTCTCCTCCTAAACTCTGAGCTCCCCCAGAACAGTATTTGAAAACGCACCATTTCTCCTCGATATTTCCCCTTGTTTTGCGAAGAAGCAGTGTTTTCCTCTCAGATCTTGGAGAACTCCTCAAGTTGCTGATCCCGGCGACCCTCATTTCATTCTTTGGCTCTTCTCCACATTTGCTCTTCCTCAGTTTGATGAATCTCCTCTTGTCGGGTGTTAGATACGTATTGACTTTTGCAAAACTTCCCAAGCCATTCTCAGACAAAGATTGACTGATGTAGGGTCAGGTAGGAAGGGGGTTTAGCTAGTTCAGACGTTAGTAAACATGACAGCTTGTTGGGGATTAGCAGGGAAATCGTGAATAAAATCATTGGGATTTGACAGAGGTGTTTTCTCTCAGACAATTAAAGATTTTTTTTTTTAATTTTTTCATTACCCCCTTCCCCTGGCCAAAAAAAGAGAGTAATAGATGAAGGTCATTAGGATAATGCATTATCATTCTCATACCCTTAAAATAGATAAAAGACAAAAGTCCTTAACCTTGAACTGCCCACAGGGCCCCTGTGTGCTGTGTTTGCCATTCTGGCATCTTTTTAAGCAGATGATACTTTCCTTTAATACCTCCTACTTAATCCTCAATTTTCTTTTAAACATAAGATATTGGAGAGGCTGGAACCTCATTTAGGCAGTAGAGAACTATAGTGCTTTGTGGCCAGGACCAGCCAAGGAGAGAAATAGTTTTGATACTGAAGAGTAATTCATTAAAGAAGGTAATGAAGGTGATGTAAACCTTCCACAAACACATCTCCGGGGGTGTATAAAGCTCACCACTCTAAGTTCAAGGTCATGGATGAATGGGATGTAAAAAGAAGAAAATAATAATAAAATTAACTACAAAAATGTGTCAAAAATCTCAGTGGGGCTCCTTGAAGCCTGACAATGTAGAATTTGATAAACAAGCAAAAAAAAAAATTCCATTAATATTATGAGAAAATCTCTTTGGAATAAAGCATTGAATTACCATGTTATTTTTCATACTTATTGCTCACTTCCAAGGTCTTAGAGAAAGACTTTGAGGTAAATTTTGCTTATCTGGTTATAGTTCATGGGTTCTGCCACATACACACTTTGGCCAGATACACATGTGGTCTCATGAACAATTTTGAGTGGTTTGGATGATTGAGAGATGTGCAGTGAGAGAGCAGAGCTACAAGACTGGGGTATTTGTGGCTGAGATTCGGTCTCTTTGAGGGCTGTAGTGCACTTTGTTTGGGGGAGCTCAGGTGCCCAGGCATCTGCCCATAGGTCTGTCATGGTACACACTCATCTACCAACCCTGAGGCCCACAGATGCTACTCTGAAAAGTAGCATGGGTTGACTGTAGAGAGAAGAATCTTGGACTGTTTTTGTGCCCCTGTTTCTTCAAAGAGAATTTTAACCTTATTTTTTAAAAATTATACCCATAAGGCAGAATCTCAGTGGAGGTCTCAACCAGGCATATTGAGCTGACAGAGGTAGGACAGCCCTGCTGGGTGGATTGTCATCCTGTGCCTGGACTTGAATTCTCTGCCTGAACATTTTCTGTGCCAGGTCTCTCACTGCTACACAGGGTCCTTCCTCTTGTTGGATAGACTATGAGCAATTCCTTTCCCAGTCAAGCCAAATTCTACTGTTCCTATGTCTTTCTTTCTTTTTAATTTTGTTAGAGCATTATATTTATACATAATATCTGGGTTCCTTTTGACATAATTATACATACAAGAAATTTCATTTCTAATTTGGTCTTGAAGTCTCTCTGTTGAGAGCAGCCATAAACCAAGCCAGCCCCTCTGTAGGACAGCCCTGACACAGGGCAGGCGAGATTCAGTGTGAAGATCAGGTAGAAGTGTAGCAGGCTAAAATAATGAAGGATTTTATTGGTTAAAGACCCCAGAGAGGAGGGCGTGCCCACAAGAGTTGCTGAGAAGTCTGGAGGCAGCAGGGAATTCTACCAGCACTGTGTCAGAGGAGCTAGGACTGAGGACCAAGTCTCTGTTAGGTCCTTGGTGTAATCCCTCAGGCTTTTCTGCAGGCAGTGTCTTGGCTACTTTAAAGGAAACAAGCATGGGCCTGAACAGTGACACACACCTGCAATCCCAGCAGCTCAGGAGGCTGAGGCAGGAGGATCCCAAGTTCAAAGCCAACCTCAACAATTTAGTGAGGCCCTGCACAGCTTAGCAAGACCCTATCTCAAAATAAAGAATAAAAACAGGCTGCAGATATGGCTCTGTGATTAAGCACCTCTAGGTTCAAAACCTAGTAGAAAATTAAAAAAAAAAAAAAAAAGCATGCATGGAGAGGAGACTTATATACAGGACTCTGATGTTGGCTGTTAGATTTCATCCTGGCTGGCAGCTCTGCTGTCTCACAGCTGGGTTGGGTTTGGGTTCAATGGTTGAGGATCAAGTAGATCTCAACCATACCTGAGGAAGGGATTTTTCCCTGGGGACGGGGGTGCGGTTCTGTAAGCCACAGGTGATGAGGTACAGGTGATGGAGTTTCAATCAGCTTAATTCAGGCCTAAAATCAGATGCAGAGGCGGCAATATACCAAATTTATGACCCAATGGTTATCCATCAACTGGCTTCCATTCTCTAGAACAACACTTTGACACATCTCCTATGCCAACAGCCTTTCAGATATCTCACTTGGTCTTTTTCTTCCCCACCTAACCTTGTAGTTTACTTAACCTAAAGAATAATATCCTAGGTCCACAAAGATTCAGTGGAGACCTGGAATCTGGGAATGCAATGGAAAGTGCTCTCCCTCTTTCTTTCCTTCCTCTCCCCTCCCCCAGCACCATTTTATTTTCCTGAGAATGATTTACATTCACATATACCAATTGTGAATTTCCTAAAATCAAAAATATTCTCTTTCATAACCGCAGCTCATCAATATCTGAAAAGTAACCCTGATATAACACTAGCATCTAATCTATAGATCTTAGTCAAATTTTGCCTATTGCTCCACTGATGCCTTTTATAGTGAAAAGAAAAATCGTTTCACGGCCCAGGATCTAAGTGCTGTATTATACTTGGATGTCATGTCTTTTTAGCCTACTTTAGCCCCAATTCCTCAATCTTTTTTTTCCCTCCTTTTATGATCTTGACATTTGTAATGAATATAGGTCAGATATTTTATAGCACATCCCTTACTCAGAGTTTGCTGATTTTTCTCATGACTTTGTTCAGGTCATGCGTTTGGGGCAGGAATACCACGGAAATGATTTTGTGTCTTTCTCAGTGCATCATTATATCAGGAGACACATCACAACTCTGTTCCATTACTGGTGTGTTGATTTGATCAGTCAAGTAAGAGGACATCTGCTGACTTTATGTGCAGTGGTAAGGGCAGAAGCTGGGCTCTGAACCCAGGTATTTTAACTCTAGAGTCTACATGACTCCTTTATGTATCTCTGGAAGTGTGAACTTGATAGATATATATATGGAATTAATGAAGGATCTTGGGAGGACTCACTGGGCTATTCTCAGGCAGGTGTGGCCCTGGAGAGCCTGTGATTGACATTGCCTTTTCCCTGTGTTGTCAGAGTCTAACAGCCGCAGGGCGGTGAACAGAGGCTATGTCACCAGCTTGCTCAGACTGCATCAGGACTGGCACAACCACGACACCGTCAACATCTTCGTGATGATCCGTCGGGGGCTTCTACTCTGTCTCCAGCACATCGCCACCTTCCGGTCRGGCAGGGAGGCCTTCCTGGCGGCCCAGGGCATGGAGACCCTGTTCAGCATTACACAGGTAATGCTTGTGTTGGGATGACATCTGGATGATTCCTAAGGGCTGAAACACAACGAAACAGAACCGGGAACATGTGACAATGTTCTTGGTGCTCACTGTGACAGGTGTTCTGGATTCAAATCCTCAGTCATTGATTCATGCATTTATTCCATATATCATCGATTGAGTTCACACTACTAGAGGCCCAGAATGGTGTCGTGTGAACTCTAGAGTCAGGGCACATGACTCTAGAAGTTGAAGTCTCTCTGTTGAGAGCAGCCATAAACCAACCCAGCCCCTCTGTAGGACAGCCCTGACGCAGGACAGGCAAGATTCAGTGCAGATCAGGTGAGATGTGTAGGAGGCTGAAACAATGAAGGATTTTATTGGTTAAAGACCCTAGAGAGTGTGTGTGTGTGTGTGTGTGGGGGGGGATGATTCCAGCCTCTGCCCTGACTGCTGTGCAACCTCAGAAAAATCACTTATTTTTTTCTTAAAAAAAAAGATGGAAATAAAAACATCTAGGTTGTTGTGTGAACTAAATAAGTTAATGTGCTCAGAAGAGTGCTTGGCATATTTTAACTGCTTCTTGATTGTGAACAGTTATTGGAAGAACAGTACTGGAAATCTAGTGGTGAATATAGCAGATAGACTCTTGGTCTTGTGGGGCAAATATCCTAGCAGGAGACAGACATTAAGCAAGCAAAGAATCCTATGAGGAGGATAATTTCCTATCGCTCTGTGTGATCAAGAGTGTAAGGGTGACTCCCATAGGTGGAGGGATGAGGTGTTCTTTAGAAGGACCTGGACATGCTAATTCTAAGGGGACAAGAGTCCCAAGCAAAGGGAGATCAACTGCAAGGCCTGTGGAATGAATGTGTGGTCTAGAGTTACCTGGATGCCAACCCAAATAACTAAGTCTGATGATGATTCAGACATCATCATTCAAGGCTATATTTATCCTCTTTATTGGTGACACAAGAATCCCAAATCTCCATTATCTGCACTTTCGCATATGTTAGGTCCCCGATGTCTTTCTATTTACCAGGTTCTGCACTTATTGATCCTCTCTGGACCCCCCTGCATTTTTTCTCTACCTGAGTATACCCAGAGGCAGCCAACAATTGGGCTGTTTTCTGACCATGGTGTCTGTARACTTTTCCCATTTAAAAAATGGCTTTTCCCCCTAAACCATAACATAATACTGTGCTGCAAACCAATATCTAATTTTCTATGTGCTATCACCTCTGGGTTTCTCTCCATCATCATAGATTTCAGAGCTTCTCCGTAATGAAATAGCTGCATTTTACTTTTTTTTTTCCCCCTGGATGAAGCAAAGCTTTGAATTTTTCCAAGTTTCCACATGCTTTTTGGAAGCTTGTAGTCAAGCTTGTAGTCACCCAAATCTCTAATCTCTCTCAGTTTTTGTGAAATGTCCCTTTGTATTGCTGATGCTAAAAACCTCCATTCTGTCTTGTATACTTTACCCAGTTCCTCTACCCTCTGCAGAATTGGCTGTTTCTCTGTTCTGTGCTACAAAAACAATTAAAAGAGCAGTAAAAGAACATGGCCACCCCAGATATACACATCTATGATAGGACTACAGTGGAGAAAACACCAAGTGAAGCCCAGGAATTGGGGGGTTGCAAGTGTGTATGCAGGGTTTTAGTAGCAATTCCTCAGTAGGTTAGTGAAGACCTCAACTGTTCAATTAATCACATTTACAACAAGCACCCAACCTCCAATTACTGCTGCAAATGGAAACTGGAGGTGAATGGAGGTAGAATCTTATAGCAAGGTTTCTCCATCCCATGAATTATATGAAAAACTTGTTCAGGAGGGGTCTGTGGAACAATGCTGCATAAATTGGCTGTGATACATTAAGAACATGGAGGAGTGTGAGAAATGTGTGGGTGACAACTTCAAGGGGTTGAATTCTCCACCTTCACCCCTTCTCTGTTTTGCTTTTAGTGTTTTAAGTAATATGTTCTTCCAGAGAAGATGTTCTCAAGTTCATGTGCAAAGTCTGACATTGGACGTTCTCCTGTTTTGGGGAAATGATCCTTTCAGGTGCAAGATATGTTTTCTTGGCTTAGAAACCAAATGGCCCATTACTCCCCTGGCAGAATCATAGCAAGTGTTGAGTAACCTCCCAGTCCTGGGCTGAGTGCTCTGAGCACAGATGCCCTTGGCAGCTGTGCTGAGTTTGAGCTGCCCATCACCCCTGCTGCCTCTTCTGCTGGAGAAAGCTGGCTGAATGGCCAACTCAGGGACCTTGGATCTGGTGATGGGTGTTTCAATCTCTATTTAAAAATTAGAATCATCGTGGTGGTAATGCTGCTGCTGCTGCTACAGCTGCTAACAATGATGACAGTGATGGTGGCGAAATAATAATGAAGCAGCAACAGTGGAAGAGGAAGAAGAGGAGGAGGAGGACAAGGAGAAGGACAAGGAGAAGGGAGRGACAGTTTCTTTGTATGGAGCTCTTACTATGGCCCACGTCTAACTTAGTGATTTATACGAACCTTCCAATTTTGACATTTTAAAAAAGCTTTTGAGGTAGACTGTATTATCATCCTCATGGTACAGATGAAGAATCTGAGAAAAAATATTAGGTAATTTGCCCAAGTTCAGGAAGGTAGTTAGTGTTGGAGCTTGGCTTTGAATCTGCTGGCTTCACCGGAGAGTTTGTGCTTTTCCTCCCTGTACTAGCATTGCCCCAAGTTGAGTATGCACTGGGGTGGGCTGGAGGGCTCCTTACCACAGGGCTCTCTGGGCTTCATCCTCGCAATTCCTGACCTAGAAGGTCTGAGGAGGGGCCTGATAATTKTCACGTTAGTTTCTAAGTGATATCGATACTGCTGGTCTGGGGCTCACAGTTTGAAAAGCACAGTCCTGTACTATTTCTGTTGATGTTTATGATATAGTTACAAGCCTACTGGGCATGAAGTTGACTGAGAAAAAGCTATTTTTTGAGTCTTTCCCATAGCTTTTGCCCAACGTATTGTCCTTTGCCTTTCTGTTGAGGCCACTGCTTGTCGTGTCTCTCTCTTCATGAGCCCACCTCTTTGTTTCCTGGGTCACCATCCCTGTGCATACCTCTAAGCATCCCCTAAACATTCAAAGGCTGAGATTATCTATAGTGCAGGGAGGGAGCTGTATACTGCAAGGCAGTCTTGTTGGAGATTTGCATGAAGAAGGCAGAAGGATAACTTGATGTAAGATTAAAACAAAAAACCCATACAGGGATGCTCTGAAACTGTATGAGATAATTATCCATTTGGACAAATAGGTAATCACAGAAGAATAAACCTATGTGAAATAATCAGATGAAGGGACCACGCTTTAGAGCTATACCAATTTAAGAGGGTTAAAAAGCTGCAAAAACTCAGTGGTTCTCAAAGTTGACATGTATTAGAATCACCCAGAGATTTATACACACTGTTATACCCCATCCCCAGAGCTTCTAATTTGGTTGGTCTGAGGTCTGCACAAGCTTGTGCATTCTCACAAGTACTCAGGTGAGGCTGATGATACTTGTATTGGTATCGCCCTTTGAGAAAATCACTGGGAAAAGGAATGATATTGCCTCACAAAAGACACAGCAGCTGCTATTTTTATCAGAAAGAATGGAAGGCCAAACCTTGATTCATCAGGATCCTCATTGCTAAACAGGCCCAGCTACTACTATCATGGATCTCTGAAAGGAAGGACTGAATCCTAATGAGAATGTTACCAACTTGGCATCAGGAGCTAGATACCCTGGAGGTCAGATTGGCCCAAGAACATTTATTTTTTACTCAGTTTCCTGAGTCCTAAAAGGAATCCTATTTGAGTCAGGCCAGGAGAACAGCTATTGGTTTAGGTACTGTTTAGAAGAACAGAGGAGATAGTCTTTGGGCACAGACACAGAGAGGAACTAGTATAGAACTAGTGGGGAAACGGGACATTTTGGGGAGTCAGGCAGAAGGAAAGACCTAGATGAGAGCAAACCAGGGGTCCCAGACCAAGAATATTTCCATGGAAGACATTCCTAACTCAGAGCTACAGTACATCTGCTCTGAGTCTTAGAGTTTACTCTCCTATGTTCAAAAAGACTAGAAAGAAAGAGGGAAAGGGGCTACACCAGGCTGGGGTCAGAGCATAACTCTTGGGCCCTGAGACCTGAATGACAAGAAAGAAGCAGGGCCATGATGGTCRGAGGAGCTGAGGGTGTCAAAGAAGGAAGAAATAAGCAAATGCAAAGGCCCACGTTCAGGTAGGGTGATGGTTCGGGTGTGGAGTGAGCTCAATATACAGAGAAGTTGGCAGAAGCCTGGTGAGCGAGGGGCAAGGATTGAGGTGAAGTTGGAGACACAGGCAGGGGCAGCGTTCAGTGCTTCCTGAACCATGGGAACGGATTTGGGTTTTTATTTCCATCCCACAGAAAGAAGGCGGCATAAGGTGGACAGAAAGGGCAGATCAGACTACATAGTTTTCTGCCTCATGAGCAGGAACTTGGAATTTTATTTTATCAGGTTTAAACATGGAGAAACATGGTTTTAAATTTTAAGAAATAAACATTTTAGGGACAACAGATGTAACTCAGGGGTAGAGCTTTTGCCCAGCATGAGGCCCTAGCTTCAATTTTCAGAACTGCCTGAAAGTGTTTTTAGTTGTAGCAGGATACCTAGCATATGAAATTCACCCTGTTACCTCTTTTTAAGTATACGGTTTTGTAGTGTTCAGTATACTGTTGTACAGCTGCACTCATGCATCTCCACCACACTTTTCATCTTGAAAACTGAAAGTCTGTTCCCATTAAACTGATTTATGCTTTTAAAGGAACGTTTTCAGAGAGGAGATTATCAGAGGGCATGAGGGGAAAGAGGGAGAGTTAAGAAGGTGAGGGGGAACATTGCTCTGCCTGCAGGAGCTCAGTGGGAGGTACTAATGGCATTGGCTCCTGTAGAAGCAGAACTGGGACCGTGACTTCTCTCACTTAACCAGAATCCTTTTCCACTAAAATGTCTCACTTTGTTATTATAAGGATTATTACTAGGACTCTTCCCTGAGTACTGTGACCTTCTAGGATCTACTTTTTTTTATGTGGATTTTCTGAAACTAATGATGCCTTCTGACATCTTAGGCCTCCTGAGCACCTATCTGTTTGTTCTAGACAAGTAGACCTAGGAATTTCTATTACCTTGGAACCAAGGATCACCTGTGAATTTCTAAGTATTTCCTCTACAGTGTAGTAGACATCAAATATAACATTATTCCTAATGCCTTGGTTTCTGAAGATTTTAATACCATCTCCACCTTCCCCAATTCAGCTCACACTGTGGACTGAACTTTCAGAACACTGTTTGTGTTTGCTTCCATCCTTCCACTGAATTTTCACCATTTCACACAAGGTCAAAAGCCTGATCATATCTATCAGCATTGATTATAATCCTAGATCGACTTGGTTTTAAAATGTTGGCTTTTTTGGCTGAACTCTGCCTTGACCCTGGCTCTGTTTCTCCCAAGGCTGAGGTTTGGAACATTATCTCTGATCAGTCATCTATCTCAGCTTCCCTGTTCCTCTTCTACATTCTTTTTTTTTCTTTTATCAACTCTAATAACTTTTCACTAAACACTTGAGGCTATTTGACCAGGCCAAGGGGTGGAACAACCTCAACTAATTCATTTTCCATGGGGAGTGTTTCCTGTTGTGCACTCTGACACAGCTGATTGGTACCATTTCAGCACACTGAAGGGAAAATGGCATTCTTGGTTGTATTAAGACATTTCTTTTTGGAGAAATGTAGCTATTGAAGTTATTTGGATAGCTTGAATTCATAGGTAAATTTTTATCAAGATATTTTCCTCCATGTTTTTGCATATGGAGCTATGTGCAATGTGGGCCTAGGGGTACACAGTGTGGTAGTATCACAGAACTTCACATGCCCTGTGGTGGGACCCCACATCCACCACAGCTACTGCTATGACTTATTGTCCTCAGAGGTTGCTGCTCCTGTTAGCAGTATCAGACTGGAAGTCCACACTAGTCAAATTTCTATACCAAGTCAGCACAAAAAATCATTTACTACTGAAAAAAAAAAGATTGTGTTTTTGCCGAGGAGATACAGAACAATACTGAATTCTTTCTCTCTCTCTCAATTTAGTAAACTTGTTCTTACATTTTTCAGAGTGTCTGAGAAGAAGGATCTTGTCATGTTCCATCAGAATCAAAATGTTACATCTGCAAACCCAATTTTTCTTTGCTTTGGGCAGGTACCAAGAGGGATCAACACTGGGCTTTGAGATGAGGCATGCTGTTTAATTTAGGTACATGGGATTTACTGAGTCTTTCCTTCTGATTTCATTATTTTATCTTTTTCCTTTATTTTTTCTCTTTACCTGAGAGAGCAAAGCAAGACTTCCATCAACTCAGCTTCTCATTCCCTRTCTCAGTCTATAATTTACAATGACTCATGGATGGCCAGAGGAAGGTGTCCCCCTTCTCTTTCCACAGCCATCCTTGGCAGTGTCTTGCCTTAAGGCCAGCATCCCTTGAAGTAATTATAAGTCTATTTTCATAGTACCAGATGAGCAGTGTGGGAAAATGCTACATTAGACAAAATTCTATGTGAGAATGTTCAAACTAGACATTAGACACTAAGGCCGTTTTCTGTCTGTTTAGCCTGTGTGTGATTCACCTACTGAAAAATGTTGGAGTGAGGGGTCTGTACATAGATGTCAGTGTCTGATATCATTTTCCCTTTGGTCAGAATTGCCTGGACAACAAGGGCATGGAGCCTGTCATCTCTGTCATGCTGCAGATCCTGAGGCAATGCTACCCAGTGAGTCCACTTCCTTTGGTCACACCCAGCAGTGCCTATGCCTTCTCAGTCCCTGGGAGCTTCACCCCTGAGCCTCCATGTGCTCTATCTGAAGGTAAAATGCCCAGATAGCTATGAGCTTATAGACAAGCTTGCATTTTAGCAATATGGCAGGGGAATGTGGATGGAAGTAGAATTAGCTGTTTTGCAGGTCAACCATGATTGTTCAGTAAACTAATTATAGGTATACACAGAAAAAGCAGGGTTTTTTTTTTTCATATACAGGGTAGACAAACACCCAGATCTGTTATTTTGCTCTTAATTATTAACTGTTGCCACTTTGCTTGGTAGCTATTGAGAGCCTCTACTATCTCCTTAAATAATTAAAAATAATCTATTCACAATTCTGTGATGGAGTTCTTTCTAATGTACTGTTAGTGGAATTAATTTTCCTGAAGGATTAAACTGAAAGAAATGTCTTGCTATTAACAACTCCATGCTACTCATATTGGAATATTTACCAGTGTGATTTTTTTAATCTCCAGAAAGATCTTAACTGTCAAAAGAATTTAGTGCTTTTCAACCCTTGTCTTCCTAGTATGGAACAGATTTTGCTCAGGTGTAATTTTGCCACAATGACATTAGATGTTTTTTTAAATAAGTTCCTGCATTTAAAAATTAGAGACTGAAAGCTATATTCCTGTTGTAACAAATTTTGTATGCATGTGATTACTAAACTTTGGCATTGACAGTTACACAAATATCCATAATCGAGTGGGAGAAAAACCAGAGTAGTATAGGTGTGTCATTTTATTCTGTTTGTATCTTGAATTTGATGTGGGACCACAGTTTAGACTTAATGATCTCGTGTTCACACGCCTGCATGCACACTCTGTATGCACACCCTTTATACATATAGATAATATTTACAGTGCACTGGGATACTGTGCACTTTAAACAATGGGTCCCTTATTGGTGTGAAGATGCACYAACCACTGTGATGAGTCTAAGAAAACAGAAATGCCTCATTCATTTCACTTTTCTTTTCCCCATGCAGAAGATTTTGAAGATGATGGTGATGAAGAGGTGGACAAAGACTCGGATTCTGAGGATGTGAAAGAGGAAGTAGGTAGACAAGCTCTGGCTTGTAATGATCTCCACAGTCACATCACGCAAAGAAAAATATCATGTCCCATGTTTGCCAAATCCAGTGTAAATTTTAAGGACTTACTTTAGTACTACCACTATGGTGATTGATGCTCAAAAAAGGACAACTACTGTTATTGATTTCCCAGTTATCATTTTCATCTTGATGAGTCTAGTATACTGTTTCATTGTGAAGTTGGAGCTATTGATTGTTAAAATGCTATTATTCTATTAGCATGATCCTTGCATAGACACTTAATGCGTATGGTTGGTTTATTTAACAAGTGCCCATGAGACCATGCAAAGATTTTGTAGGACACTTTCTACTCGTTCACACCTATCTTCATAAAGCACTCTTTTTATCTGCCTATTCTTCACAGAGCTAGTGCATTGTCCAAACCCACTTATATTTGTGGGAATTGCTCTCCTTTGAGTTGCAAAGTGTACAACCTGGCCCAAAGAGAGTCATGACAGTGGCCTCTGTTACAGAACAGAAGTTAGCAAACTTTCTAGAAAAAGTCATATAGTAGTTATTTTAGATATACTATACCATACAGCCTTTGTCACAACTGCTCAAATTGCCATCATAGCATAAAAGTAGGCCCTAAGAATACATGAATGAGTGGATATGGCTGTGTTCCAATAAAACAGACAGTAGGACGTACCTTGCTGACTTCTTTTCTACAACAGGCATTCTAAACCTTGGCACTTTGGCATTTTGAGTGAATAGTTTCTGTTTGTGGGGGCTATCCAGTATATTGCAGGGTGTTTAGCCACATCCCTGACCTCTGAACAATGCTAGCGTCTATCCCTTTGCTCCTCATTCGTGAACTGAAGATGTCTCCAGGAATTGTCAAAATTTCCCTTTTTGAGAACCTTTGCCTTTGAGCAATTACTTATCTGTGCATTATAATTCTCTCTTCATTCTTGATGGTGCACATGGATTTGAACAAGTTTCTTCAAGTTCCTTAGTTTCATCATCTGCAGAATAAAACATAGGAGTAAATGTTACCATCCCTAGGGATAAAACTCCAAATTAAAAATCTATTTCTGTCTATCTTCCTTCCTTCCTTCCTTCATTTATTTCTTCATCCATTGGTCGGTTTGCTCATTGTTCCTTCTTTCCTCCCTCTGTTTCTCCTTCCCTTTCCTCCTATCTAGAAAGAATCTTTTGAGTTCTCTATCATGATAATCACTCACCTTGTTGAAGGTAGTGGCAGACATTTAGTGACTATCTCTTAGCCACATCTCTGGGCTTACACTGCTATTGACAGTCTGATGTTCTCAGGGTTTTGTTGATAAATAGAATCATTTCTGAAGTCATCAGTGGCAAATTGGTTCTTTGCTGTGGGTTGGCGGCGCAGGCCTGTGGAGTACGTGCTGAATTATTTGAATAATACTGCACCGCGGCAGTCATTCATCAATGCCACTTTCCCCTCCCCTCTTGCTTGTTCTTTGATAACTGGATGTCTGATGCAGTGTCAGTCGCCTCTTGTATCTGATGCAGAGCGACAGGGTGCATGACTTCACCCAGCATGGGAAGGAGGACTTTCAAATACTCTCCCCAGTCTGCACAGGGTGTTAGAGTAGGGTCRAGAGGAACCTAAACAAATGTACAAACCTGGCTGGGAAAAGTGTACAAGACAAATGGGTGAGGGACTAAAAACTATTCATCAAAACCCCTCAAGCCAAGGAGGGGATCAGAAGTCAGTATGAGCATGAATTGTAGAGAAATGGGGCGGTATCAGAACCAGGGCTCCACTGGGGGACGGCAGGAACAGGGGAACTGGTACTCCAGCAAGCTGGTACTTCCTTGGTGAACTTGACAGATTTGCTGCCAGAGATGTGGATGAAAAGCCAGGTATATATAGATTTTGGTTCTCAGAACTRATCCAGGCCTTTAACCTGTGGCTTTTCCATTTGAAAATTGCAGTTCATAATCTGTACCACACTTTCAGCAGGCATGATTAAAAGGAACTTTTATCTGCAAAGTTTTATTGAGAGTTGAATATTGGGTTCTGTGATTTGATTGAAAACTGTCAAGGTCAACATGAGACAAGAGAAACTCACAACAAACAGGAAAGAGATGTTGGTTATATGTTGTTCTTCGCCCAACCTCCCCCTATATACCCAAACATCAGATTTGAGCAAATTAAGGATGAGGAGGATATTCAAAGTGAATTCAGGCATTTGTTTCCTTCCACTCTTCCTTTCCTCCCTCTTTTCCTTCTTCTTAAGTTTTCTTCTCTCTTTCAGGTACTTTTTTGGGCATGTCCCCTATAGAGCATGAGAGGTTCTTGGGGATGTAATGTGATACAAAAACAAATGAAACATAGTTTTTATCTTCCAAGATTTCTTAGTCTAGTGAACTTGGGGATTTTTGGTATTAAAGTTTAAGTCAGGAATGTCAAACTTGAACTCAAGTGTGTGGCAGACAATATCCAAAACAATATCCAAGAGTTCCAGTGTAAGAGGCAAGGGCCAGAAAGCATTATCTGGATTGCGGGGTGTCAGAATCCTAGAAGGTRAAGGGCATCTGGGTTGACTTGAGGACTTAGACACAGGTCCATCTCGAGGTAAGTATTAATGGTACTTAGAAGGCACATAGGAGGAGGTGATAACTCGGCTGAGTGACAGGAGAAAATAAGATCCAGACCTTTATAGACCAGAAACCGTCTCTGTCTCCATGCTCCACTCTGCTATTATGCCAAGAAAGCACCCATTGACTATACATGAATGAATAGTTGTGACTGTATTTCAATATTTTTTTTTAACAAAACAACCTGTAGGCCACATTTCAGTAATTCCTACCCAAAGACTCAGTGGGTCCTCTGACCACATGTGGGATGAACCGACTGCAGCATGGGTTACATGACATTGCTCCCTCCAGACACACCATGGGAGCCTAACTCACTGATGGGGACACTCTTCCCAGTGTCTGGCTGGGTGGGGTTTTCAGTAAGGCCACCCCAGGCCATGGCTGGAGGAAAACAGGAAGTGAAAAATGCAGCTGAACAGGTCAAGAGTGGTGACTATGGAGTTTGGACCAGGTGTATGCACACTGAACCTGAAATATGAAGCTGAACGGATGAGCATGAAATTTAGCATCAAATAAACTATAGTCATGTATAGTTTATTTGAAACTTGGAGGAAAATTACATAAGATGGGTTGAATATTGAGTTTTACTTTTTTTTCCCCTGGATTAGGAATATAAGCATATATTTCCCACATTTATATGATTTAGCTCTTTTTAGTCAGGACTGCCAGTTTTTTCCTTAACTAATTAAGTACTCATCGAAAACACATGGTAGATTTTTCACCCTTGTTTTATTAAGGGAACTTGATCTAAGATATGGAAAGATAGAGGGCCTGGACTGTTTGATTCTGGGTGTCTTTTCTCTGTAAGACTACAACCCTTAAAAAACACACAAGTGTTCAGAAAAGAATCACCTTCATCATAAAACTAACCAAAATGATAATGTAGAAGAAAGACTAAATTGACTCAGAGTATTCTACCCAATGAAGAAAATACTGGTGGTATTTTGTACACTTTCAAATGTACAGAGATAAAGGTGTAGTAGGAGAATGATACTGTTCCCCAGGACCTGCAAGGATTGATAAAATTTCTCTGTTGCCTCTTTTTCCATCTTATTCTCTACAGTCTTCCTCTTCTGTTCTCTGCTTCAACTATCTTTCTTTTGTGAGCAAATTCAGACTCTTCCTTCTTCTAGTTATTCTTTTTTTGCATAGTTGACGTTTTGTCATTTAGGTCATGGATATATTCATATGATAGTTTTTGTGAGACCTCAGATAACTCAGTTCAAATAGTTTTCCATAACCCAGACTCAGTCACAATTAGATCATTCTCTTTCATCATTTCCAGGACATTTTCTGTTGTTGGTAATGATCTCATTCATTTGCTTACTTTATTATGTACTGTCTTCTCTCTCTTACTATAAGGCAAATTCCACAGGAGCATGGATCTTTGTTTCTTCTCTCATTGACTCTTTCACTCCAGAAAGCCATTGACTCTCATTGACTCTTCAGAACCTAGAAGAGTCCTTGCTCATAGCAGGTGCTCATTAATGTTTGGGATAGAGTGAAGGGCCCACCTAAACAGAGGCAGAGAGGCCAATAGGGATGATAATCACAAACATGTGGATCACAGTGGTAAATGAGATGAATATTTTCTTGCTTTATTGTTTACATAGTTTACCTCATTTTATAGAAATTATTACTTATGAAGAGAACTCAAATACTGACACAAATTCTGAGAAAAGTTGTCTATCRTCTTCTTTTCTAGTGTAAAAATACAACATATGTATGTTTAACCATCCACTGGATAAGCTAATGTTACAACCTGAGGCCAAGAAACCATGTCCTAAGACTTGGAAGAAGAACATTGCATCTTGTCTTGTTGCCTTTCAGGGTGGATGTCATGACAAGACTGTAACCTGTTCTTTAAATATCCCTCTGTAGTATGATGACTTGGAAACTGATGTGGACAAGCTGAGTTCCAAGCCTGGGCTTGACCGACCTGAAGAGGAACTCATGCAATATGAGGCAATGTGTCTGGAGCTCTCCTATAGCTTTCAGGTAGGACACAGACTGTGGTTTCTGCTCCTTGGTGATGCATGGCGAGTTCTTTACAGATCCTGGGAGGCCAAGCCAAACAGAGTGTCCAGATGTAAAACATTGCTTATCATGAGCCATTTGCTTCTGGGCTCCTTCTGAGAAAACAGCAGAAGGTTAAGCAAAAATTTGAAAATGGTGGTCAAGGTGGGATGCATGGCCAGTTTCTACAGTCTGACACCCTACACCTGGGATGGCAGTAGAGTGAAAGTACACAGTATGACCTATTGGTTAGTGGGCAAGGTATCCTGGCCCCATTTACTGAAATAGCAAGTGAACATCCTTGATGATTTAATTGTTCTCTTGCTAAAAAGATGGACTTCTAATGGTGGCCATCCTGATTCCAGACTGGCTTTGTCAATAGAAGCAAATAAGGAACCTTACACCTGGTGATGTCACTCCAGTGCCTAGTTGCTGCCATTGATGTTGCTGCTATCAAGATTTTAAACCTGCTTTTTGATCTCTGTTTTTTTTATAGTTCTTAATAAATAATGCGTTTGGCCACATCAAAGGGCATAGCTAGTTGCATATAGAAAGGAGTTAACATGTTCTGTTTCACTCCAGAAAACCAAAGACTATTGGTGGTGAAAGTTGCAACGAAACAAATTTCAATTCAGTGTTAGGAAGACTTTCTTTTAATAATCAGAATTGTCCTAAAAAAAGTGCATTACCTTTGGGGCACTATGAAAGGCTTCACTCTGGGTTTCAGTGAGGCCCTATAAATTAAGTTGTTCAACTAGGTTGAAATTTAGTGGGAATTTGGAGAAGACATACATACATTCATGTACTATATAGAAGTGTACTAGATCCACCAAAATCCCTTCCCAAACATGAGTTTGTATGATTCTACCATTTTTTTTTGACTCTTAAATGTTAATCTTCCCTTGGCTGATGCTAGAAAAAGCTTCCCAATTCACATTTATGCTTAGCTCTGTGCACAGAGAGTGAGGATAGGGATCAAAGTGTATTCTCTACTTGCAAAGAAACACTGACATATTCTTTTCCACTCTAAACCCCAAGGAACTAGAGTCCAAATTTGGAGATGATGCAAACTTTGAAGACTCTCAGAACACCAATCACCACCACATTCCCACTGCTGCCTCCCCAAAGCAGCACTGCTTGAAGAAGGACCAAACCTCCTGGGGGCAAGAAAAAGAAGACACAGTCCAGACTTCTCTCCTGAGCATGGTGAAGATGGGAAGGTCCTCCAAGAAAAGACCCATAAAGAACATACACCACGATGTGCAATCCAATGGTCTTGGCATAGATTCTCTTGGAAACGATATCCCTGACATTCAGACTTCCCCAAAAGAGGATGGTTGGGACATAGAAGCTATTTCTTGCCCAAGGATGAGTGCCTCCTTTTCCAATTCCTCTACTCCTARAGAAGCTGGTGAAGCAATAGATAAACTTCTGCACCTACATCCCAAGCATATCCCTTTCCATGATCCCTGCCTTTATATGGCCAAAGCCAGAAGAACCAGGTCTGTGGTGGACTTCAAGATGGTGGCATTTCCTGATCTCTGGGGGCACTGTCCACCTCCCTCTGCCCAGTACATGTTGGAACGCAAATGTGGAGTCCAGAGGTAATGGTGCTACTGACTTAGGATCTGTACTTTTCTCTTCTTTAATATTTTTACAGGTGGAATCATTTGTACAGATAGTTCTGCTATAGAAAAGTAAGCATTAGTCAAGAACATTTTGAAGCCCTTTGGGAAACTTTTACCACCATAAATGCTTGTTTCCCTACTAGGGCATTGCAGAGTCGAGGATGGAGAAGTGGTAGGCTTGTGTTTCCTGACCAAAAAATTCTTTGGATGATTCTAATAAAGCCCCTTGCCCCATACTCATTGTAAACCACAAAACAGGGGAAGGTCATCTAGTTTCTCCAAATACTGGAATCTTTTCTAAAAAGAATGTTTAAATGTTTATATATTTATTGAATACTAGGGAAAAAAACCTGATTATTGGGAGTGTTGCTTGTTTACTGCACATTGGAATCTGACTTCTTGCTAATAGAAAGGTGGTATATTGCCATCCCATTGCCCCAATGTTACAGACCCTGGCTTGGTTTGGAGAATGAGTTTGCTGCATCTTTGAGGAGGGAATGGGACAGAAAACCCATACCCTTCGGGGCAGAATAATGAGTGATAGATTATTCCCAGAATGTAGGAGAGCTAGGTCTTTGGTTTAGCATAGTGAGATTAAAATAAAAACCAATAAAAATGAGGAAAAAAATATTCTCCTTGAAAAAAAGAAGTGTATCTACTAAGCCAAWGTATACAGATCAGAAAGTTTTATTTCCAACAAATGATTCTCTTGATGGTTGATTCCCACATGGGTTCTTGATTGAATTCTCTGACCTCATCCCTAGGACATTATCTGCCATGCTCACCTTCCTGAGAAAATCATGTCAGAGGCTGTTTTGCACAATATTATCCCTGCACAGATCATCTCCCCTCTCAGTCCAGCCTTTATTTCCAGTCCTTCCTCACTCTTTGTTCATCTCACCTCAATGAACTGGATTGGAAATGTAAGAAAGGAACTCAAAGTCCTTCAGAGATTCTTTCCTTTCTCTTACTTAAATTTTCCCAATATTATTTCTCAGACAGGAGACTGACCTCAGCCTGCTGGAGCACACAGAGCCCAATGAATTTACATGGCATAAAAATACAGAAGCCATCCGAGTTTTATGAACCTTGATCATGAAAATAGTCAATATGCCTGATGTTTCCCTCAAAACTGCCTCAATGCAAAGGAATCCCTTATGTATATAGTCAGAAAAGTTAAAGTACACTAGCCCAAATGCTCTTCACAAAACTCTCCAAACAAGAATCCCCTCACTGAAATCTAACATMTTTGTTATTTCTAGTCCTATGGTTTGTTATAGAATAATTCAAACTATACTGCTCATAGTTTAATTTTTAATAAAGAAGAGAAGAAGGTATGGCAGTTTTGTTTGTATCTTTTGAGCCCAAGATTAGGGCATCGATAAACTTTTATATGTCTCGAATGACTCCCAGGGCCCTTCCCAGGGGACCTTAGAGAAGTTGGGTAGAGAATGAGGGTCAACACTTAAAATGTTTCCAATTTTCCTTTCTAGGATCAAGATATTTGAGGATGTCCGAAGGTTCATCCAGCCAAATGATATTATAAATAAAGTTATCTTTAGTTTAGATGAGCCTTGGTAAGTGGTCTTATATATTTATGGAATAGTAGGTATGGAAAATTCTGTGAGACTGCATGAAGACAGTAGTTTTTCATGTTAATAATCCATTCCTACTCCTGAAAACATCATGGCGACTAATCAGGTTAAATATCTGTAAGAGAAACCTTATCTTTAAGAAGGTGTCTAACTGTGTCCAAGAACGACAATAAGAAAGTTCACAGGTTCTCTATTTCATTACAGGCCTTTGCAAGACACAGCTTCCAGTTGCCTAAGGTTCTTCTCCAAGTTTGAGTCAGGAAATCTTCGCAAAGCCATCCAAGTGCGTGAGTAAGTAGGGAAGACCACAGGGGTAGTTCTTGGCAGGCCGGGAGAGGAGGCTGTAATTATCTCTTGACCGTTCTGTGTTCAGTGACCTCACATTGGTGGCTTGAAATCAGCCATGGTAAGAATGTCTACCCCATGAAAACTGGAAAATACTATACATGAAGGTTTTTCCTCTCTGATTCAGTTGTTAAACATTTACCAGCATGCCTCCAGAGATCTCACAGGCTAATGTCATAGCAAAGTGAACTTTTCAGTAGAAGAATAAACATGTCTTAATCCAGATAGTAGGTCCACATTTGGCTGTGAGAGCACTTTGACTGGGACACTTATCGGGTCATGTTGACATGGAAAGGTATGAAGTGTTCCCTATTCCTACACCACTCCAAGTCTGTTGATGTGCCACAGCTGTGTACTTAGGTGGCAGCAATTATGGACTGTCCATCTTTCATTCAAGCAAATGCGCAGTACATATGTCTCTGGAAAAACCTGATGGAGCTGTTATTAATAGAAAAGGATTCCATAGATAAGGACATATAAGGGATAGATAAACTGAAAGGAAGGACATAATCTTTTTCATTGGTTGAAGAGATGGTTGTTCTCATGAAATTACCTATCATTCTTTGTTCTATAGAAGGGTGGACCATATTTTCCGTATGCCAAAAGGCAAGATATATAATCTGTCTTCTGTGGATGAACTTCTGAAAACCACAGTCCAGGCCGTGAATGGTATAGTGGCCACAGATGTTGTCATGAGCAGCACAGGGCACTGCAATCCCTTTCCAACAGGTGCCTTTGAGCTAGTCGCCCAACTAACTCCAAACATTCATTTTCCCTCCAACAAAATGAGGACAATAATAATACCCACCTCATATGTGGTTCACGAGAGTTAAATAATATACATAAATCTCTTAGGATAGTGCCTAGCACATGGTAAGCACTCATTCAGCATAAGTTCTTATTCAGGGATGCATGTTCACCGTGACTAGAACTTAGGGTAGCTAAGACCTGCTTTATAGGCACTTAAGGAATCATTTTTGAAGTTGTTCTTTTGGGGATGAGATGAAAGGTGATTTCGTTTTTGGATTTTGCACATTAGTTATTTCCAGCTCAATATTTAAGACAGAGACAAATTGAGCTACTTGGGCTATAAGGGGGAAGGGACAGTCATGTCCAGACTGCTGTTCAGTCTACTTCTGGTTCTGTTGTCAGCTCAGCTTCTACTTCTTCCTATGGCTCCTATTTTCTTATTCCTTCTCTCTAAATTCATGTTCAGGGAATCCCAGAGATAATATCTGATTAGCAGTCTCCTGGTTGGACAGTTTTCAGTCCAGTTTGTTTGGGAACAGCTGGCTAGGCTCAGGTCTTTCTCTTTACATCTGCTTTTGACCAGATAGTAGTAGACTCCTAAACTCAGTCGTGCCCAAGGTAATGGAGACAAATGACGGAAAACAAACTACTTACTGGAAAAAATTTTTCTGATCACTTTTTAGAGAAAGTACTGTGGGAATAGTGCATAATTTAAGGGTTGTGACTTTACAGAATTGTCCTTGTGAGTGCTACTCAGTGAGTTTGCTTCATTCATTGCCTAGTGAGCTAAATAGTTAGAGCATGGTCCTTACAAGTCCTGCATGAGGGGTGGGATTTCATCAGTTAGCTCTAGTCCGCATTCACATGTCTTATACCAAGCTTTGCACTTCCACAAAACTCATGATATAATGTTATTTATTAGGGATCCAGAGTGGGAACATATGCATGGGTTAGGGCAAAAATATTTTCCCATTTTAGAACAACAACTCAAAAAGAGTACCAAGAGGATGGGACAATATTATTCCTGAAAATGAAATTTCCTAGAAATAATGTTTTAGTCAAAACAGCAAATTCTGTAGTTAGAGCTCAGAAAATTAATTACCTCTGGAAACACAGCAACTGAGAGGGGACAGACAAGAGCTCCTGGAGTACTGGAATTGTCCTATATCTGTATAATTGTCTATATCTGGCAGCACAGGTGCATCCAGATGCAAATAAATCCATTGAGCTATTCATTTAAGATTTCTGTACTTCACTGCATGTAAGTTATATCTCAATTAAAATGAAAAAAATGCACAAACAACCTCTGTTATGCTCGTCTAATTCATGTTTTTAGCTCTGTGAGGGGATTTGTATCCATTATACTATTTAAACTTTATAAACAGCACTCTGAGTTTAGACGCTTTCCATTCTCCATATAAGGAAACTGAGACTCAAAATTAATGTCTATAACCTCACATAGTCTTGGCATATCCAAAGCAGATGTTACTGAATTTTCCTGAGAAAATTGCATTTTCCTAGTTGAACAGAAACTTCACTATAGTTTAGTGAAAAGACGTGCTACAGTTCTGTCAGTGATTCTTCTTATAGATTCTGAGATCTGTAACCCAGAACTTGAGACACATAGATTCTCATTTACCTTAAAGATGTTCCAAATAACCCTTCAGTCTTGCTTCTGACTCTGTAGGTTTGAGTATGACTTGCTGATCAATGCTGATGTGAACAGCTGCCAGCACCAGCAATGGTTCTATTTCAAGGTGAGCGGTATGAGAGCCAACACCCCTTACCGCTTCAACATCATCAACTGTGAGAAGCCCAACAGCCAGTTTAATTATGGTATGGACCCTTGGGGATTAGAGGTTTTCTTGATAGTATCATGAATTTCTTGACTTTTAAATTATCAAAAGACCTGTGTGCATTACCAGAGGATTTGAAGTTGGTCTGACACACTTTGGTTGCCTGTGTGGCAATGGAGTGGCCAACCAATGGCACACTGCTAATATGGAGGAATTTCTGGAATCCTCACTCTGACATGGAATGTTATTAGTGCATGAAACACTCAACTATGTTCTGATTCCCTTGCTCGACCTTGAACATTGTTGTTGTTGTTATTATTATTATTTATTTTTTTGCATGTGGGGATGGTTGGTGGGAATGAGTTGGGGGGTATGTGTGTTAATGCTAAGGACTGAATCCAGGGCCTCACATGAGCCAGGCAAGAACTCCATCTCTGATTTATATGAGCTACATCCCCAACACCCGACCTTGTGCTTTTGAGATTGGTGAATGTTCTCATTTACTCCTATCTTCAAAAATCCCACAGGAGCAAACGTGCTAATCTATATGTCACAACATGAGAATATCAAAATGCAATTGGGCAACACAGTTTTACCCTCTCAGAAAACTCTGAAAAAAATCTTGAATTCTCTTGTATACCTGTGGTTTATTTTGCAAAGGACATTCAAGAGACAAGATTAAACAATAACTCTTGCTTATTTCGAATATTTCTAGGAATAGGAAATTCTCGTGTTGGCTCTAACTCATATACTACTTTATTGGGTAGATTTGAATAAGGAATAAATATTCCCAATATCTAGCTACAAGCATGAGATCCTGCCTCTGTTTTGTGAGGACTAAATAGACTCTCATTGCCGTAGAAAGAAAATATGAACTTTAACTCTTGTATTTGCTTTGTGTGGATACTATAATAAATTTGTGCTTTAAAACAAGACAAATTTGTTCTCTTGCAATGCTGGTATCCTTAAGTCCAAATCAATTTCCAATTGGGATAAAGGGCATGTCAGTGGGGCTGTGTTCTCTTTGGAGATGCTAGGGGAGAATCCCTTTACTTTTCTACCTTCTGAAGATAAATTCCTTGCATTCCTTGGTGCATGGCCCTTTCTTGAAACCAGCAACAGTGCACCTTCAAATCTCTCTCTGCTTTAGTCATGTTGCTTCTCTTCTTTAGTCAAAACTTCCTTTGCCTTCCTCTCACAAGAGCAGCTGTGATTGCACATAGGGCCACCAGGACAATCTTCCCATCTCAAGATCCCAAACTTAGTCAGACTGGCAAGGTCTCTTTCTTTGGTCATACATTGGTTAACATTCACAGTGTCAAGGAATTAAGATCTGGATATCCTTGGGGGCCATTTTTCAACCTTCTACAACTCACTTTTCTTTTTTTTTTTATCTTTTAAAATCTCCTCTCCCACTTTCCCTCATGGATTAAATCCTGGTTTTATTTTACAAAGGGATGCAGCCAACCCTGTACTCTGTGAAGGAGGCTCTTCTTGGCAGACCCAGCTGGATACGGACAGGCAATGAGATCTGTTATTACAAGTAAGTGAGAGGCTTGAGAAAGTTGTTAACTTCCTTTTCTCTGTCATTCCCTCTTAATTTCTTGCTTTTCCATATTCATATTATAAGCACCAGTAATCTGTGCTTGTCTGTCATACTTTTTCCTCTGTCCCAATGGCAAATGCCCTGCCTTTTAGAGATAGAAGCTTGTGAAACAGCACTCATAGTAGAAAACAAGAAACATATTTAGATTTGCTGAAAAATGGTTTCTCTTCATGTATGTACATTAACACTTCATTTATGCACATCTAACTTTTGTTGTTAGACATTAAGAGTTGTACAGATTTTATCTGTAATTAGTACATGAGACATTAATTCTTTATTCATTTTCACTGGGCCCAGTGAAAAAAAGTCTGAAAATCTCTGACATTTTCTTTTCCATCTGTGCTTCACTTTCCAAAGTATAGGGGAGTGAGTATGTGGCAGACACACTTAAGTAACTCCTCTTCCATAGCAAGATAGTTTTTGAGTAAAAGATAATAAAAGAGGGAAGGGCTACAATATTCATCTTCAGACTTTGATCAGTAGTCAGTTTTATCAATGTATCCTGCAAAGTTGCAATGAAATTTAAATTGCCCCTATTTCTTCGTTTTGATGAAAGAAATGGATTCCAGACCCATGAATTGATTATGAGTGCATTTTTTAGATGGAAAATAAAATTGAAGTACATAAGAAAAAAGTAAAAGGATAGGAATTGTTAGGACAGGTAGAATATACATAATTCCTTATTAGCTCCTTGCCAGGGTTTTATAAAAAATGATAGGTTAGTTCTTATTTTCATGGATAAAGTAAGTCTTATCTTTAAGATAATAAGAGAACTGGTGGGTGGGGGGACTATTACCAGACATTCTAGAGTTTAGGATTGTTATCGCTATCAATATCAAGGAGGGTATGTACACTGAATGCTTCTTGGCTTTTGAGACTGTAAGGACTGTATTGATAGATAGGAAAGGTCAAGAATCTTGTTGCTCTGTTAGATAAAGGCAGAAATCACCCCAGAGATAATGACAGTCTACAAAACATAGCTGGGCTGACTAACAGTCTGTAATATAAGAGTTGGCAGTGTTCAGTCTTTGATATATGAAGACATGAATCCAAATAGATTTTTCATATATTCTTGAGAAGGAATCAAAATATTAGAACTTTGTTGGATTTCCATCCACCTAAATGGTAATCACTCTCTGGCCCTCTTACCTTAAGACTCTCCGGAATTTCTTTTTGTTCCAAAGAGAATTAGGCTAAAATTTGTCTAGGTTGTAGCATTCACAATTATAGAGAAAAATATGGAAACCTACATTTGGACCTTTGTGTGCCAAGAATAACATTTGGTTTCTTCTGAAATTAGTTACCATGAGTAAATTTGAAAGGCCCAATTTAAAAGTTGGCCCGGACCTGGAATTTATTAAGAGATTAGACAAATATCATTTTATGTCCTCTCTCCATGGGAGAAAGCTCTCCCTGGAGGATGCTTCTCTTGGAATTGGGGAGCAACCTCAAGGGGACCAGGTGTGGGTGAAGAGAAGGAAGAAGCCACACATCCCAAAGCACATCCCTAGCCTAAAGGAAGCCAGTGTTAATAGCTTCTAGATTCATTAACAAGACAATTGTTGTGTGATTAAAGAGCAATAGAGGGGCAAGATGAAAACTGTGCATGTATAATGTAATTCATTTTTCACATTCCAGCCATGAATACAAGGGAGATGAATGGATAAGATTGTCACATTGCAATGTAGTTTGTTTTACAATTATTCATCACATTATGTTAACATATTTCCAATAATGTGATGTAACAACAGAATAGATACATGTAATCTCTGTTCACCCACAAATCAAAACACTTTCTCTATTATAAAATGTCTTTTATTAAGCAATATCTTTCTCCTTACTTGGGCCTCACAATCTTTGAGTTGATTTGCTTTAGAGGATTTGCTTGCTTCATTCCTGCCTTTATTCTCTGTGATTTATCAGTTTGGTATAACTTTAGCTCCTTATTTCTTTATGTCCTATCTGGTAGTAGAGGCTCAGAAGTTCTATTGCTAACATGCTATTAAATTCCCAGACAGAGTGCTATGTTTTAAGTGGGTGCCAGGGTATTCATTGTGGGGAGAAATGTGAGCCATAGAGGAGGAGTATCTTTTCCACCCTATTTTTTATTAGTGCATTATACTTGTACATAGTGGTGGGATTTATTGTTACATATTCATAAATACACAAAATATAACAGTAAAATTTGCCCAATATCATTCCCCAGTATTTCCTCCTTCTCTTTTCTTTTCCCTCCCCTGGTCCCTTTCCTCTACTCTACTGGCCTCCCTTAGATTTTCATGAGATGCCCCCACCCCACCTTTCTTTTCCTTTTTTCCTCTGAATGCAATGATGAGCAATTGTGAAGGCGGATTGACTACTTTGTGGGACCGATTGCCATCCATTAGAAATAATCTCCAAATTATTTTGGCTGTGTATCTAAATCAGTAATATATAGTTATGCATGTACTTACTAATATAGATTTGTTCCTAAATTATTTTAAAATAAATGACACATGCATTACTAGACTAATATATATTGTACATTAGAACATGTGCAAAAAGTGAAGAATTTTTAATGAGAAAATGATGAAACAAATTAGACTTTTTGTTATATATTTATACTATTGAAAGCTCAGTACACACTAAGCTTTCAATAGTGAAATTCACCATCATGGTGAAATTCACCATCACACACACACAAGTGTGTGTATGTAGGAAAATAAAGGGAAAAATACAGTAGTAAGTAGCCTTTTGGATAATTTTGAAAATTTTGACTAATGTTCCAGATCTAATTAGATAATCTTTCCCACATGAACTGTACTGAGGATAGGGTGTTGGCCATGGGCCTTCTGCTCTTTTCTTGATCATTTATGATTGCAATTTAGCACAGTTATTGACTGATGGCTTCTAAGCAGAATGTTAAAAAAAATTTTCTGTTTTGAGAGGTTTAGCTTAATTTAGATAATATGATCTGTAAATCTATCAAAATATGCTTCCATAAACTTAAATATCTTCCCAGAAGCCAAAAGCAAAACAATGAGGAGGGGCAAATTATTCCTGCTCCTCCCTTGGGAGACTGCCTGTGCAGCCACTGATACTGAACTACCTGGCACATGGAAATAGTTGGTGTAGAATTTAATGTACTTTTCATAATCCATGCCTGGAACACCACAGGGATGGGTGGATGAGATTGCTCATTATGTAGTTTGTTTTGTAATTATTCATCACMTAAGGTTGAAGAGGACTGCCTAAGGGCAGTCATGTAAATCCACATATTAAATGTGAGACAATTTAATTTCTTTCTTATTACCTAGATAATTGTAAATTTAAGGAGAAATTCTAATATTTTTTTTCATATGTGCAGTTGATCATCCTGCCCTCCCCTGGAGCACCTCCTACCCCTTCCATCATACCCATGTGTTTCACCCCCCCTGAAGACTACTCAGCTAGAAAATAAAAAAGGGCTCTCAAGATGGAAGAACATAAATGGCCAGACTCATTTTTCCATATTGCTCATAAAAATAAGTAAGGACAGTTTTAGTTTCTGCTTTATTTACTTTCATATAGCCTGCTTCTCCCTCTCCTGTACACAGCCTCACACCTTTTCCAATTCTCTCCCAGCTCTGGTCTACAGTAATTTTGGTGCTGAAGGGCAGCGGGAGGGAAGCTACACGCTCTGAGTGGCCCTGTAATACACAGCGGCTGATCTCTTCTGACATTTATCTCCGCTCGTGAGAGGAGATGGAACAGCTCACTCATGAAGATGAATGTCATACAAGAGCTCTGCCATCATGCATCCTTCCGAGGCATCTCAGGAGAGAGATTTGGTGCTATATAGAATATTAGAGATGCTGCAGACATGGAGAAGCCTGGAGACTTGGTTGCTCTGCCTTATTAGATCCTGTTAAGTGAAATGATGCACTCTTGTTAAACAGGGCCATCATCATTGTAAGATCATCTAATTCACTCTCTGCCTTGGAATTTGCTAATATTCATGCACATGCAGAAAAAAAATGACTTCCCAGCATTTTTAAAGTACAAATGGAAATAGATTTAAGTTCATAACTATGCATTTGTGTACTCTGCTCCTGGATTCATTGAAGGCTTTATGATTACAAAAGTACAGATCCTTCCAAAGATACATGATATGGGGAAGGGACAAAAAGAGGGGGCCTTGTAACTGTGGAGCACTTGAATCTGTCTAGCCCAGATCACCTTTGACCTACGACCGCCTATCTAAGATCCAGTGAATGCAGAATCTGAGAGCCGTCCTGATTTTGCCAGGCTCCTTTAACACCTGGAAGAGTAGATTGACCAGAGAAGTTTCTTGGAATTGAATTTCCAACCTCTCATTAATGGAGTGATCTTAGGCAAATTATCTTGACTTCTCTCAACTTTAGATTCATTGTCTATGAGAATGCGATAATAAGGGCAATTATGGAGCCATTCTGAACATGTAGAAAACTTAGAAAAGTAGGTATTCAATGAATGTTAACAACTATTATTAATAATTAGTAGAAAGATTGTGGCATCAAGCACCAATGATAGAAAAAAAATCATAGTATATGGATCCTTTTTACTATTTCTCATCTGAATTATTTTACATTCTGTCTGTTATTTTAGATTCTAAATTAATAGGCCTGATTTATAAAGATAGAAACTTCAAATTTTTACTTGCTGAATTGGGCCAAAAGACTACTCACCCTTTTATCCATTACTAAGAGGTAGATGATAGACATGAAAAAACTCTTAGTTTCAGATTTAAGCCCACACTTGAAATTGAATCCTGTTTACTGTACTTGTGTGGAATCACACCTGTCATTTAACATCTGTAAGCCTCAARGTTCCCATCTGTAGAATGTGCATAATAATGTCATTAAGGTTAAGAGATAAAATATGTATTAAGCATTCTAATTATGACTTCCTGAGTAATCTATTCTATAAACTTCAACAGCTGCTGTGCCCAGGCATGAGGCACAAAGGCCAGACATAAGGATACATAGCCTGATCCCTGCCATGAAGCATGGGCAGCGGGGAAGACAACAGTGTGATGAGAGCTCTGTGAGGGGACTGTCAGGGAAGGCTTCCCACTGGAGGAGACTTTGAGTCCTGAAGGAAGGACAGGGGTCAGCTGATGAAGAAGTGAGAAAAGGCTTCCCATGCAGAAGAACATGGAAAATATCACAAATATGCAGGATAGACGTTCCTGCCGCCTTGCAAACATCCCCCATAGGTTCACATCATAATCGAGAAAACAAAAATAGGTCATGGGTGGGATCTCACTCTATCATGGACAAATTGAATTGTCACAAGCCAAGTGCCTCACTGTAAAGATTTATCAGACATTTCCCATTAGAGGAGGTCTTGGGAAAGGTCAAAGGTCTCTGAAGAAAGTTTTTCTGGAGATAGATTCAACTTCTGGATGTTCCTTTTACAGTGTGGCCACCAGGGGACTCCAATGGGAAGTCTGACATTTGCTTTAGGTTCAGCCAGAGTTTAGATCCCAGACTAAGGTTGTAACTGAATCTACTTTAGCCAAGATTCATGCTAAATGAAGTGATATCCAGTTTTCTTAAATTCCAGCAGTGTGTACTCCCTCCTGGGGAAGGGTGGCTTGTCAGTGGTGAGCTAACACCAGCAAGCTACAGGGGGTAACACCTTAGGTGTGCATGTGATGCTGGTGTGAGAAGCAGATTTCATGTAGTCAAAACTACCATTTGAATTCCCTCCCTGCAGCCACTAGAACCAAGGAAACCCATGAGGTGAGACTTAGCCCATTTTATTTTTCTTTCCACTCCACTGTAGCTGTTCTTTGTTTGGAGTCCCAGTTTGTTCTGGATGAGGGAGAGTGCATTGGGATAAATACAGAGATTTCATTGACTTGTCTACTCTCACTCCCTTTCTTCTATGGCTGAGTAGGGGTAGGGTTGAGTTAGCATAGGGTAAATGTGCTTGTGATGTGACTTCAGCATACTTAATAGAGCAGTGGGTAAAYGTAAGAAGAAGCAAGGCTCATGCAATAAGACCATCCCTACTGGTCCTTAGGGGCATCTGTTATTTTTGAGTCAAGATGCAGAACCTGTTTTTACTTTTTGCAGGTAAATAACATGGGAACAGTGATGCACTGGTTAGGTGTTTCCCCCGTCTTAATATCCATGAATGTATGTGTGTGTGCTTGTGTGCGTGTGCGTACTCACTTGTGTGTGCTTACAGGTGAAACATTCTTCCATGCTTTGGTTGGTTGTGCCTGGCTCATTCAGCTCCATTGCAAGGAGCTGTAACTGGCTGATACCTGCTGTTTAATTAGGTATCAACTGAGTTGTGTGCCTTTGCAATGGAGTCTTTACAGGTGAAGTCAGAAAGCAAATGAAAGAGAGCACTTGTGCCTTGTATGTGTGTTAAGTGTCATCTGCTTCTTTACATACTTTCTAATTACCACCGTGTTAGCTTTGGGAGACACTTCAGACCTTTGAGAAAATGTGGCAAAAGTAGACTCCATGATGTATCAAAATTTAGATAACACCATGGGAAAAGATACCCTTTTGCAGTTCCATTTCGGAAAGCACAAAGGAAATGGGTTCTGTTAACCTGATGCTGAAAAGCTGGGTAATAGTCATTTAGGGTTTGAGTTGTTATGGAGTACCCTCTTTTTCTTAGAATGACCAAGGCTCCAGGCTGCCATGTTGACAGAATTTGAAGCAAGTGAAATGTATTATGTTATATTTGGTGGGATCACCAGGTTCTCTTACTCCTATTCCTAGTTTTATATAAACTGGAAAACCACAAAACCATAAGAAATAAGAGATTTTTCTATTAGTTGCTTTCTTATATGTTTTCTTTTTGCTTTCATGGGGACTAGCATGAAGATTGCAAAAAAGCAGAAAATAGTAACCTATATTTTATATTTTGCAAGAACACATAGGAATAATCATCTACTATTTCTTCCCTCATCCTTTTTATTTCTCCCCCTAAACCTGTAAGGGTTTAGGGGGAGAAATAACTACCCATGRTAGTTCAGGAAGCCAATGTTGTATGTGTTCAAAGGTGGGATTACATCTTTTGGTGTCCAGTGCATTTTGCATTGTAAGGTAGCCTTGATGATAACATTTCTCAGGAAAACCTGCACAGCYGTCTCAATATCAACAGGCAAGATGAGAGCATAACTGGCAGTGTGTGGTGAAAATATTGCTGGGAATGTACTTCTGGGTGCAATTTACTTTGATACTGTTCTCTGAAATATCAAAATTGGTTCTTCATCTTTGACAAAGGAAAATGTGCATTCTCAAGCTTTAAGAAGCTGAGCCACATTTGGGGTGACAAATATATTCCTTTGGGAAGAAAGTATTAAATAGTGAAAAGAACAAAGTCTTTCCAGCCAAAGATATCTAGGCTCAAGTCTTGTATTGATCATTTACTTGCCTTGAGACCTTATTTTTCTCTATAGTTTCATTTCTTCATCCACTCAATAGGTTATTGCAATAATAACAGAAGATGAGATATGTTAAAAATTGAGTTGGAACTCAATACTTAGTAGTGATTGCTAATAAATTGATTTGGGAGGTGGAGGCAAAGGAAGGAGCTTCATCTTATGTTGTCTGAAGACAGATTGGGGGACCCAAATTTGGGTAATGAAGTGTGTGTTTGCAGTAGAATCCCAGAAAGCACAGAAGTATTTACATTTATCTCTATTTTCTAGCTCAGTGACTTGATAGCCTTCATTTTCAGACATAGCAGGAAAGGCTCATGACATATATACCACAATTGGGGCGGGGGGCAGATGGCCAGGTTTCTGTATTGCTGAGCTGATTCATGACCTGGCAGTGAGTCTCTTGCCCATTTCTCTGTTTTCTAAATTTCACCCACAAACATATTTTGAGTGAAGTTCATTTTGCCACGTATAATGCCTGAGTTTATAGCATCTAGGACCCTAGGTGACTTTTCCCAATCTCTCCCTCATTTTCTTCTCTTCTCCTCTTTCTTTAGAAACCATTATCGCCAGAGGGCAGCTGCCACCGRTGGGACATCTGGGAAGTGCTATTATACCCTCACCTTTGTGGTCACCTTCCCACATGATGAGGATGTCTGCTACCTGGCCTACCACTATCCCTACACCTACTCAGCCCTCATGGTAACTTCTGCTTATGTGACCCCAGCAGGGCTGAAGGGGCTTTCTGAAGTTTTCCTGAGAACATTCTGGAGACCCTGGCTGGCATTCTGGGTGGTTAGGGGGAGGGGGACTATTGCCTTCTGAGAGGAGCCAGGTTTTATCATCACTGACCTCCTGGCTTTCCATGTGCCCCATCTCCTTCCCTGGAGAGGGCATGAGGCTGAGCCATGACCAGTAATATTCGGAGAGCCCAGAAGGTGGGCAGATTGAGTGTGGGAGCTGGGGGCATTTCTCAGGGCTCCTGGCTTTTAAAAGTCCTTGAGTTAAGCATGAAGTAGTCAGATTGCCATTGACTTGGGATGAAACCACACAAGGAAGCTGAGATGCAAATCTAAAGCACCCCTCCTTGAAGGGAATGGAGAATCAGGCAGGGAGATGGTACTGGACAACTCCCGGAGTGGCTCTTATGGTTATGGACTAAAGGGTGCTGGAAGGATCAGGGTGGAATGGGAAGAGTGGGAGAACAGAACACTGAATCACTGGCTATGGTCTTTTTAGGAGGGTAGTGTAGCAGAAGTGAGTCCAGACTCATGCAGAATTCCTGTGTGTTCTCTAAGTCCCTACAGAAAACCTTATGAGCCAATTTTGAGTGAACCCGGACTACTTAGAACATGAGGTTTTCTATTGTTTGAAAAAGTTGGCAAACTATGACTTTTCCCCCACCTATTTCATGGAAATCCTGAGGATTAATGAGCTACAGTATCTTCTCCAAAGTATTTTCATCCTCTGTGTTCAAGCAAAATGTTATTAGCATATTTATAATAATATGCGTGCCTATGAGTGTACATATCATTTAGCCTAAAGGATGAGCATTCTCATTTTAAGACTGTCATAAGGAATTGGAAAAGATAATAACCACAAAAACCTTTCCRTTCAAAAGGAATGTTCAGGTATAAATGGAAAATTTTCTCATCGAACAGGCGCATCTTACACCACTTGGCTACCCACTTCACAAAAGTGCATCTGTCCTTCTCTCCATATGTCGTCTTGCCTAAAGAAAGATTTTTACTGTTTTCCAGATTGCAAAAGATACACAACTAGTATTATTTGTGTATCACACTTAGAGAACTCAAGAAGTGAATCCAAGAAATGTGCATCACAAGCTATGCTGAAACAAGCCATGTTTGTTATAAAACATGTTTGTTGCCTTTAGGGACAGAGAACAGGCAGGATTCATGAGCTGATTTTATGGTCTCACTTGTGAAATGCTGTGCATGAAATGTCTACTGGGGATGGGGATTCTTTTTTCCGAATGTTAAATTACTTTTTTCTCCACAGTTTTTATTGGTGCATTATAATTATACATAATGGAGGGATTTGTTGTTACATATTCATTTGTGCACACAATATAATAATACAATTTGGCCAATATTGTTCCTTAGCATAAGGGAATTCTTTTTTGAGTATGTGTTTGCCTTTCCAATTAGAGGAAGAGACTGCAGGTCTGGGACACTGTGCTTTCCACTTTTTAGCATATCTTGGGCCCTGCTGAGATTCTTGCAGGCAGTATAAAACATTAGAATTCAAAGGGGTTTGGGAAGTTGTCTAATTTACCCTTAACATTCATAGATKCAAAAACCAAAGTCTGGGAGTCGAGTCCTTCATCTGGCTAACTGCCAAGCAGGGCATAGAACACTGATCTTTGATGTCACTTCCTGTGGCCTTTCTACTTCACTGTAGAAGAAATGTTGAATAAGTTCAGAAGAATTTCTGTTCGGGGATTAGCTCAATGTCCTTGCTACCACATACCATAGTTACTAAAAAATGCAGTCTAGTTGTGTAGGTCTGTGTGATAATACAGGCATCTCTGATGGAAGCACTGAAGTCATTGATCCATGTTTTTTGTCTGTGTTGCTGAGTGCTGTGGATGTGGATGAGTTGAAGGAGAATGTTTCTTGACAAATATGGTCCAGCTCTTATCCCAGGGTGCTCTGATGGACTCTTGCTAAGTGCCTACAAGTTGGTTCAAAATCTGTAACTCTTCCAATCAGGCTTCTACCACACTTGGGTGCCCACTTACTCTCTGGAGACTGTGTCAGTATCTAAAGTTTACAACTGACAYGATTTAGGAAACATTAGGGTGAATGGGGGGACCAATTTCATCTTGGAGGGAGAAAAAACACAAGGAAACACAAGAAAAGACACACACAAGTGGACCTTCTCTGTCCACTTAGAGGGGGAGAGAAGCTTTGTTCATTGGTCTTTGTTGACTTGTTACCTAGCATACTGACTGTGGACATTTCAGGAGAGTTAGTGAGAAAGACAAGAAAAGGAATCATTTCTAACTTCTCCTAASTGAGTGAAACAAGGTTAGAAAGACAATTTGTCACTTGAAAGTGAAAAATATATATTCTCAATTTTAGGTTTTACCTTTCCAGTAACTCATGGTCTTTGTCTTCTCTAGATTTAAGATAATAATTGACTCTGTGACCTCTCTTTAAAAAATTCACCCTACTACCACCAACAGAATAAGTACATTCTGCAATGTACACTAGTCATTTATTTTTTGGACATGTCCTAAGAAGAAACAGTTTTTATTCCAACAGATCAGTAATAAATTAAATGTGTCTAGTACCCCAAGGGCAGAATTAACTGTATGTCACTCGAGGGTTATGCTGAAGAGGGAAAAACATATTTCCATGTGGAATTCACAATTTGTAAATCTCTTCTAGTGTGAATTATGCTTAATAATTACAGCCATTTTTAGAGCAGAGGACCTGTATGTTGGGTGTTTGTCATGATGAATACTGTTTTGAAACTTTAAAAATTTTACTATTCTTTTAACATAAGAGAATKAGTATTTTGTTCTTTCAAATTGATCCAGATGCTTACCAGCAGTTCTGTTGGGTAGTTGTCCAAATGGTAGCAGTAAAGTAAATCTAAAAGAAATACATTATTATTATAATTCTGAAACAAACAAAAGGAGTTTATTTCAATCAGCCATATCAGGACATCAATATTGCAATGACTGTTAAAGTATTGTTAATAATACTGGTTAGAGTATTGAGAGTATGTTATGGATTATCTCTAGGTAGCCAGAAGTATTGGTTGAAAATGGGGCCCCAAGACACTTTTCTTTTTTTTCCCTCCAAGATAGTTTCTGATGGATATTTTAGGAGGTAAGGAAATGGGTCCTTATTGAAAACTTAGAACTGAATAATTGGCAAGAAACAAGAAAAGTGATCATAGGTCAGATCCCTGTATTGGGAAAGTTTAAGGCTCTTTTTTTTATTTGTTCTTTTTAGTTATGCATGAYAGCACAATGTATTTTGGTAAATTACACGTACATAGTATATAATTTATTCTATTTTGGATCACATTCTTGTGGTTATACATGATGTGGAGTTACCAGGTCATGTGTTCAAATAAAAGGCTGGGGTGGGGGTGTGTGGGGATATGGCTCAGTTGGTAGAGTGCTTGCCTTACATGTATAAGGCCCTGGGTTCAATCCCCAGCACCACACACACACACACACACACACACACACACACACACTTACACACACCAATGTCTAATTAATTCTACCATCCTTCTTATTCCCTCTCCCTCTCTTCCCTTCATCCCTCTTTGTGTAATCTAATGGATTTGTATTCTTCCTCTCCCCACCCTCCCTTGTTTAGCATCCACATATTAGAGAGAACATTYGGCCTTTGGTTTTTTGAAATTGGCTTATTTGACTTAGTATGATATTCTCCAGTCCCATCCATTTATTGGCAAATGCCATTATTTCATTCTTTTTTATGGCTGAGTATTATTCCATTGTGCATATATACCAAATTTCTTTATCCATTCATCCATCAGAGGACACGTACGTTGTTTTAACACCTAGGCTATTGTGAGTTGAGCTGCTATATTAATATAAATATTGATGTGGCTGGGTCACTGTGGTATGCTGTTTTTAAGTCCTTTAGACCAAGGAGTAGAATAACTAGGTTAAATGGTAGTTCCATTCCAAGTTTTCTATGGAAAGAGTGGAGAAGAGTTTTTCATCAGACACAAATGCCCCTGTGGAAGATGCTACTATTATTGTCTTTAGAAATGAGAAACAGTATGGTGTAGGGGAAGGGAAAGAGCGGGGTGGACAGAGACAGAGAAAGATAAGAGACATAGAATATCATATGCATAACATCTTATAAATGTCTCAGAATAAATGCAGAGTTTAAGAAATGTCAAATAGGAAACGTTGACTTATACATAGTAGGTCAAAGATGCAATGAGTGAGCTCTGAATCAGCACAGCTGAGTAATCAGAAACAGACCTCTGTCCTCATATGGGCCACAACAGAAGACAGGCACCAACAAAGGAGCTCGATAGCTGGGAGGTAAACATGAGTGGCCATTCAGAAGGAGTCAAGTTGCATGTGAATGGTTTAGGCTTTTGCCACAAGGACAACCAAATTCTAGGGTCTTGAACATGAGATAGGAATAGCATTTGAGTGGGACAGGCCTGGATTTGAGTCCAGGTGCTGTTTCCTTACTCTTAGCCATGGGCAAGRTATTTATAGTCTCTCAGCTTTGGCTTTTTTTTTTTTAACCTATAAAATGAAATGAAAACAGATAGTATAGAGATTACTTTGAAGGTTCACTTTCACATGGAAAGTATAAGCAAAGTGCCTCTGTATAATAAGCAATACTAGGTAGTAACCATTAGAGCATTTATTCTTTTTTAAATGGTAATATGTAGTAGCCATCCCCTGTGTTGGACTGATTGGATACCTATTCCAAAATTTATATTAAAATAAAAGTTATATGAAAATCCAAGTCAAAGACCAAAAACCAACCCAAAGCCTACTGATGGTTTTCTTAGGTTAGTTGATTATGATTATTTTCTCTTTGCTCTCTTTTCTAAATAATCGGTAATAAAACTTTATTTTTAGTGGAAAAAGAATAATAGGGTCCTCTTTTCTTTATAATTGCTAAATCTGTGAGCAGATATCTAGAGACTCTTTTTTTTCCTTTTCC